TGGGCACTTAGAAAAGACACAAGGATATCAGTTGACCCAAAGATCGAGACATTAATAGACAAATGTAAAATTGGAAACCTACTGTAATTTTGAAAGCCTGTAAATGCATGTATGACTTCGGTGGGGTGGAGAGTATCCCCGAGAGACACATCTGAGGAGGTAGCTGCTGTATGGTGCTTTGGTGTTTTCTTTTCGAGTTCCTGTAGTTATACACGGTCCTGATTTAGATTGTGCTATGATCAAGCTAAATTTCCCCCAGCAAGGGCTGTGGTAGAATGCCTGCCTGGTTTTACACGCCTTTTCTGCAGTGTCTATCAGAACAGGAGTCTGACGGAAAGGAGCACGACAGAACGTGAATATCTGGATCCAACTAGTGAGCTTCACAAGCTGTATCTTCCCTTTGCCTAAATTGTTTCATTGGTAAAATGGAAACCATCACAGATATTTGCTGCAACAGAAACAGAACTCATGAATTTACAAGTCCATGGATCCAGTTCCAGCTCTGCCACTGATTAGCTACGTCACCTCTTTCAGCTGTACTCCACTTGTCCATAAAACAGAATCATCCAAAAGAAGTTAGAACTAAAAGAGACTTTACATATTAGGGATTCTCAGCTTTTAAAAGTCAGTCATACAGCCAGGCATGGTGGCGCACGCCTGTAATCCCAGCACTTTGGAGGCTGAGGCAGGAGGATCACTGCGAGTCTGAGGCCAGCCTAGACTCCATAGTGAGCTCAAGGCCAGCCTGAATGACATAGCTAGACCCTGCCTCAAAAAATAAATAGATACATAAATAGCGAGTCATGACCACCCTTAGAGGAGATTTCACATAGTGACATTTCCTGACCTTTTTATTATGATAAGTATCGTAATTAAACCTTTTCAAGGCTCATTGTATTCCTTACCATTCTGCTATCTGCCTGCACTGCTAGTCAGACCCCGACCCTCAGGTGGCTGAGAGCACTGATTTAGAGTAGTTACAGTTGCTCTAGTCACCCTGCTGTGGTTTTGGTCCTGCCATTGCTTCCCATTCTTTGTTAAGCCCCAGATCCCTGTGGAAGTCTTTGTTCTTTCTCACTGAGACCCTTACACACTTCCCCTTAGCTTATGGAGCTGTATAATGTTGCCTCCTGTTCCAGGCTGGAAGCCTTTGCTAACTTAAGCTTCCTAATGTGACCTTCCTATGTCTCCTCTTCTCCCCTCCTTGTCCTTATCAAATCGAGTACAGTCCCATTGGTATGGCCTTCTCAGTGTGACTCTTCACTATAGCAGTTCCCTCTTATCTGCAGAAGATACATTCCAAGATGCCCAATACATTTTTGAAACTGCGGATAGTACCAAAACTTATTTTTCTCGTATATACACAATTAACTGTAATATCCTTTCCATCTTAATGAAGCACTTATCATACAGGGGCCATCTTTTGCATTTTGGTTTGACAGCAAAACCAACATAAATTTCCTTGTTCCTAATTTACAGTTTCATGAATAGAAGAATCATTCTAACCATAGGTCATACCAACCTCAGTGTACAAATTTTTTCTTTCCTTATTAAGTAACAATCTTCCACCTTTTCACTGAAGGAAACACTTTGCAGCTTCTCTTTGGAATATCCGAACTCCCAGCATCACTACTTTTATGCCTAGTGCCTCTGTTAAGTAAAATAAGTGTTATTTGAACAAAAGCTTTGGATACCAGGACAGTCAATCAAATAATCAAGACAGCTACTGAGTGACTATTTGGTAGGTAGTATACTCGGCTTAGATACACTGAACAAAAGGGATGATTCGCATCTAGGGCAAGACAGAGCGGAGCAACAATAGATTTCATCATGCTATTCAGAACAGGCATATGATTTAAAATTTATGAGACTGTTTTCTGGAATGTTCTATTTAATGTTCTCAGACTTCATATGTAACTGAGACTGCAGACACTGTAAATGAAACATCAGAGATGGGAACTACAGTATCTTTGTAGTCTTATTTCAACGCACAGGTATCCTGGCTGTAGCTAAGGTTCCTCAGTGTTCCCAGAGTCACCACCAAAAGTCTTTCCTTTACATGTCGGAGCTCGATGCACTGTCCAAGAGCCATCTCAGTCACTTTCCTGACCCCTGGAACAATTACGCTGCCGCATTTTGTTGAGGGTCCCTGGTATTCTCCTTAAACTTAGCAGTGTACTTATAATCATCAGTAAGAAGGTCAATAAGGATGTCATATGACCCAGAGACCCTAATACAGTGATGTTTTTGAACTTTTGACCATGAATTCATACCAAGATACATATTTACATTGCAGCTTGGTATATCATGAGGTTAGGTATATTTATAATTAAAATTTTGCATAGTAGAATACATACTAATTATTTTCTTACATTGTAATATTTTCTTTCTTTTCTGATCTATGTCATTTTTTCTGGTCTAAATTAACTTTACAACCATTACTCTCACTTGTAAAAGACACCACTGATATTACAGTACACCTAGTAGATACTGTACATATTTAAATTGTAC